GAGTGGTGGGTGTGGCCCCGGGGGGGGTCCGGGGTGGGGCATAAAACCCCATTTTTGGGGTTTAGCCCATGTGGTGCGCGCTCTCGCTGCGCACCCCCCACTATTTTTTTTATTTTTTTTTGATTTTTTTTTTTGGGGGGGGTCTGGAGCCGGGGCTGGGGGTGCCCACCCCCGGACCCCCGGACCCCCGCCGGGGCCCCGGGGCCGGGGCTTGACAACCCTGGTACTACTGTTCGTTTGTCTTATAAATTGTTTTTTTTTTTTTTGCAGCCTCGAAACTCGACTCATTGTGTCCGTCGCTTATCGTACACATTGTGTTGCCGTCATCTTTCGCAGTGCCGTCGGCCAGCCATTGAGACTGTTCATAATTGTCAGGTTCACTTATTTGACCTTGCGACACAACATGGCCGACGTAGTTGTTGTTGTGAAAGAGGCTGTGGACGGAAAGGAAATCGTCGTGAGAGAGACTGTGTGTGAGCGCGATACTGAAAACGGAAGAGTTTTTGAATACTGGGAAGGGGTTGTCGCGACGAAAACACGTGTGTACTACGCGTTCATCGATGACACCCTCGCTTTGAGGGTCGTGGCGGGGCTGGGGTACGACGACCTTGATTGCCTTGATGAGGTTGTAATGCACGCAAAAAAACTTTCGGATGTCGTTCCCGACGCCTGCAAACCCCCCGACTTCGATATGATTGGTCATTTGCTAAGGTGCATCGTGTCAGTCGTTGCGGTCGACCATGTGGAAAGGTTAGCACGCAACGCATGGTATTTCTCCAAACTCGACCGGCCGTTGCAACACCGTAGTTATCTCCACGGAGATGTGCGCAGTGCGTTGCCAAAGGACGGTTGCGGACAACAATGTCAAAGTGTCAACGAACCGTCATCTTGCTCGTCTCATGCGTAGTCTGAAACAGGTGGGTTGACGAACAAAATCGTAAAGGTTTTCAACATTCGACAGTGTTCGAGACCGCGACTACCCGCTCATCCCATATATATGTATAAAGGGCGTTCCCCCTCCCCGTACGGTACATGCCGAATATCATGTTTGCGTTATTCGTTGCTCGATCATTGGGTTCATAACTTACGGTGTTGCTTTCTGTGAATTGCAACACTTTTCAAACGCCATACGAAAGAAGCGACGATGCATTGCGCGTCAATGCTTTTCCGATGTTACTACACCACAAAACTGACAGGCGGCGACACCGTATACTATTACGAATCAATGACTCCCGTAACAGATCCTGTCGGCGATGCAGTGGGATACCGCAATGGAGACAAGAAGGTGGATCGTCATTTCATTGTTAGCGTTGAGGAGGAACGAGTCGTGAGACTCACTACAGAGACTTATATTCGTAACCACGCCATCGAACACGTTCCTGTCCTAATATCTAAGCCAACCACGTACTTCAGTACCTTTGTTCTCAAACCGGTCGACGGTGATTTGATGTATGATATCGTCTTCCCCCTTGTGCATCGCATACTATACACACACTACGGGACGGTCGCTCGGAACGGCGTCTGGCGCCTGGTCGCGTCACCACCCTATTTTGTCTCTGATGACGAGGATTTCTCTGCCATGTTTTATCCTTGCAGATACTGACCCAGCGATGAGTACCATTCGATATTTTTTCCTATGTTTCTTCGTTGTTGGAGAGAGACAAAATGATGGTTTCAATGATTGTACATTTTGTGTATACATATGCAATCGTCATCTCCCATGTGTTTGTTATATGTTTTTGGTTTTTTTTTATTTGCCTGCTTTGCGTTTTGAAATTTGTTTTCGTTTTTGTTATATGGAGGTACAGTACTAAGGTAATCGGTGCCCGTAATGTTCTGGATTGTAGATTTCTAAAAATTCACACATAAGCGACAGAACAATATTCACCCTTTCCCATACATGGACCACCAACGACACAGGGTTGGTGTGCGGACCGACGCAGTCGTATTTGGAAATGGGACAGATACTGATCCTTTCCACGACGAAGAGCTGACAGTCGCCGAGATTAGGAGTCGGTGGCCGCGACCCGCAGCGCTTTTGGAGGAGGCTGTGACTTTTGCTGGGTTGGAGAAGCATCTGCAACAGTGCATGAATCTGCTTATTGGTCGTGCAAATCTCGAACCAAAGCAAAATCGTTACAATGGATATATCACATTTTCTCGGCTGTGCGGGTTCGTCGTTTTCCGACAGAGATTGCCAGATGAGTTCCAAACGGCAATGCGGGAACGATGGCCAGATACAATCATTCGAGGTTTTGAGCTACGACAATATGATCCTCCTGAAAACGTGCGCCCACGTCGACGTGCACGACAGTAAATGTTTCACGACACGATAGATAGATAGATAGATTGGGGTGGCGAGAGAGAGAGAGAGAGAGAGAGAGAGAGAGAGAGAGTAGGCTTGCCTTCAGTGTGAGTACGTATGTCAGTCCGACTGTGTGTTTGTCTTGAGTGTGTATGTGCGATCGTAAACTTAAGCGTGAAGGTTACTTTTTGTGTGTCCCGTAATGACCCGTGCATGTTCGACAGACCATCAGGCCCGGTACTTACCTATTGTCGTGACTTATTCGGATTGCATTATGTAAAATTTGGTTTCCATGGTGTACATCCTTTTTTTCCTTTCTTATAATCCTCGATCTCTCATTTGAAGTTCATTTATTTATGTTCGCAATTGTATGTCATTGTACCATTGACTATGGAGTCTGAGCGATTCTAATCCTCGCTCTCGTCACTCGAGCTCAATCATTTAGTGTTGCAACTGGATGTCATTGTATTATTGGATCAACGTGAAAATCTGAATTGGTTTGGCTATATAATGTAAAACAACTATTGCATATGAGCTTAAGCATGTGAAGTATGGATGTATGTGTAACTCGACATTGGTGAGTGAGATAATATTTATACGCACAGGAAAAAAAAAAAAAAAAAAAAAAAGGCACAAGACAWAAGATACCATCAGATGTGTGAAAGAAAAAAATAAAAAATAAATATATATATATATATATATATATATATATATATATATATATATCTCACGAGTTGTTCCGACACTTACACACAGACAATCTCAAACACGCCCACACATGCATAAGATGAGGGGGAGAGATGGCAAAGTCAAAACTGCACACAGACAAGGATAAGCAGCGGAATTCAACCATGCACAAATGAGGGAGGTCACACAATGACTCTCACTCTCCAGCAGACTCCCAACAAACAATCATAATAAAGAACCTCAGCAAGATCACAATTGATATGATGCTGATGATGAGCCAACTCGAACGAATATCATAACAGAGTTTGTTCCAGTCCCTTGCTCCCCAATCGATTTCCCTCATTCTATTAATAGAGTACAGTACTCTAACCTACACCTAGACCGGACTGACTAACCGACCAACACCGTTGCAGTTTCGGCCTCTCGGCCTCTACCGGACCCGACTATAGGCTATAGGACCGTCTATCAGCTTAGGCCATTAGGGCCTGTGTGTCCTGGGGGTAGTCCGGGCCTGCTATTCACAGTAAGGGTATGTATAGGAAATTTGAAATACTGTTGGGCCTATATTTCCCATATTTACAGATGTGGCCCTCACGAATTTTCCTCACAGGTTGGTCTCACGGTTAGCCTCAAGTCGAACAAAATTACAAATCTTACCCTACGGGGTAGTATACAGCCTCGCCATCAATCTTCGCAGTCAGACTGAGCAAATATATATATATATATAGCGACCATCAACACGTCCAACTAAAAAACCAACGAATATAAAAGTCGCATGTAAAAGAGACTACGACATAACACAATGTCAGTCGTCGAACAACTCGACATCATCTCGTCCGATAGAGAATCGCACGATCGATCGGACACGGCGGTTGTCGGTCCAGGTAACCGATCGCTGTCGCCAATGATGAAAACATCGTCATCCCCCACAACGTCGGGATCCGCACCTGAATCAACGTCGTCCTCGTCACGGGTAATGGTCTCCTCGCCTCTGCAAAAAAGATCGCGAGGCAGAGGAGGTGTCGAGGACCCGGCTTCGCCCGACACATCACAATCGTCGGACTCGAGAAGGCGTCGAGCCCAATCTGAAACGCATTTTGAACCGAAGATGAACGTGGACAGCCGATCCATCCACGAATCGGTAGGGGGGCGGTTGTGACGGTAGTGGCTCGGCCTTGGACGAATCGAAGTCCCAAAAGGCCTGCGGACACGATACTCCAAGGGATCCTGCCATGCATGAGTGTTCCATCGAATGACTACAATCGCCAAACGCGGCTCATACGACTTCTCGAAGTGCAAGGCCTTCTTCGCGTAAATGATGATTGTGCCCTGGAAGGTCTCAACCGTCGACGTGTGACGGAACTCTTGTAGTACGAACAAACGGTCGTGTTGCAATACCTGCCCAACGTCTGGCGAATGATGTCATACACGGGGTTGTCGTGCGTGTAGAGAGGCAGTCGAGATGGGTCACCCGCCTTTGAGCATAGAAGCTCTCTGTCTGCAACGCACCTGGAGTGGTCCCCTGCCCAATGGTCGGCGATCATCATGATATCATTAAGCAAGGTGACAAAGTCGCCGCCCTCATCTCTGCAAAGTTGGGAAGCACGAAGAAACCAATGCCCCACCTCATGCATATGGAACTCGTTCACGCCACCTGCATCCACAAGCAGGGATTGCTTGTTTTTCATCGTGCCGTACGGGAACATTTTGCTCATCACAACAGCGACGTAGTCGCTCTTCTTCAATCGTTCTTCTTTTGCCGTCAAACACCCAGGTCCAAAACGGTATGTCAAGGCATCCGACAGCTCCTTCTTCGTGAACTGCATAAACTGAGATTCCGAGACGCACTGATGAGGGTTGTTCAATTTCTTTGGAACCTTCAGTGTCACGACTTTTCTCAGTGCCTTGCGAATGTTTTTCACCTTATGATGGCAATCTTTCTGCCATTCAATACCCAGTCGCTCCAACTGCGGACCCAATGCAGCACAATCGTCGGAGACAACACACCGGATCTGCAACCCCCTCGACATCAAGCCTCTCAACAAGCGCACAACAGCAAGAACCTCAAGTTGGTTCGATGCCTTTCCCTCCTTCTTTGGGCGAAGAGTATGAACACCCACCGCAAGACGAGTATCACACTCAATCGCGGTAACAGTGCAATGTTGCGCAGACCTGGCGGAGTCGTAGCGACCGTCAACCATCAAAGTGACGGGTCTCCCTGATCGCATAACCGTGTCAATGGCCAAGTCGCAATACCGCACGCCCTGCCTGACAACCTTTGCATTCCAACCCTCACGCACATTCGGCTCACCGCGCATGCAACTGTAAAAAGTGGGCTTGTGCACAGGCGCTACCCCAAGCGCAACGCATAAGTCGTTCAGGACGGTATATGTCATACCCGCAGTGACGGTCGCATGGAACAACTGGTGCTGGAGTCTGCAAGAGTACACAGCTCCCGCAACCAGTGCACTGTGCCATGTCCAACGACATGACTTCTTACATGCGAGCGAAATGCGACATATCTGCCCAGGATAACCGACAGAGGACACATCCATACGACAACCGGCCCCGTGGCGCGGGCAACTCAAATCGAACAACCCGAGCAACTGGAGCAGCTTCACCGGCTCCAGGAACACGACATCAGGCGCTTTCGAGCCTTCCCAGTGCCCCATCGATTCCAACACATGTTCAGATCGATCATGGCAAGGTCCTCTCTGCAGAGCACCATCCTTCGAATCATCCCAGCACAAAGGCCGAACACGATCGAAATGCGAACGCGACCTGCTACGGCTTGGTGGTCGCCCGCGCGATCTGCGGCCACGTTGTGACCCGTGGCCAGAACGCGGAAGTGAATCATCCGACCCACAAAATGACCCGCCATCGCCTCCACCGCTTGCTGCGCCATCACGCTCGCCATCATCCTCTGCGTCCGCTGTCGAATCATCCCCTCCTGTTTCGAGACGGAACAACTCAGCACGACTGCCGGCCGGTAGTGTTCTCTCGATCCTTGACGCCACACCGTCCCCGAACTCTAAGCGGATGGATGGCAATGACCAATGCAACAGTCGGTCGACGACATCGCTCATGACCCCAGACTTTTCGCTCACTTCTTTCATCGCAGATTGTAAAAGGCGCAGTCTCTCCTTGCAAGTGGAAGTCAGGGACAAACGAGAGTACTTCGTGGATCCAGTTGACTGCGAACCAAATTGCCGTAAGGACCCGCCTGACTGCTCAGAAGGGCCCGCACCAAGACTTTTAGCGGCAGGATCGCAACGTCCGGGCCTGTCTCCACTACCACACACGATGTCTTCCCCGTCGAACCGGGAGACGAGAGAGCGACGGCCGGAACTACGGTCATGTGTGTCCCCGGCAGAGGCACGACGTACGCCATCCAATACACCCCCCTGCCCATGACGTGATGCGGCGAACGGATGTGGGACCCGCGGTTCTGCACTCCGACGACCTCCGTCACGTAGTGTGGACCCTCCCCTTCCAAACACCGCCGGTGATGATTGAGAACACCCCTCGAGGGGGATGGAGTCCAACCCGTCGCATCCAACGACAAGCGGAGGAGGAGAAAATGGCTACGCTGCACACGACAGAAACTGCAAACGGCGAGGTTGCAATGGTGGTGACAGCATAGGAAAACACAACGCATCGAAATCTGACAAAGGGTGCACTGGAGTGTATGCCCGGCGCGCAGGAGACGGCAACAAGGGCGGCAACGGATAATAGACAACTGCAACGCCGGAACTGACGACGTCCGCAGGCGAAAGACACTGAACACGAGGCCTCTTTGTTGATCGCATATCATTCGGGCTGCCATAAGGGGATACTCCCAGCAAACCGCGCTGTCCGGCATGCGGTGACACCGGCGTGGCGTTGCCACGCGCGGGCCAATTAGGCGGCCGTTCCGCTGACCTGCTGTCATCAGGCGTGCAACTGCCAGGTGCGTCACCCATCACAGATGGCCGGCCGTCTCCCGCGCCGTACGTGTACTGCGCGCTGGACGGTGCAATGCCGGCAACACTATCTCCAAACGGATGAACTGCAAATCGCAAAAGAACAGCGTTCAGTCCTGTGCCCAGCAAATAGTCATCGGCTGGTCAGAAATGGTGAATTGCATAGTCACCGATGCACTGGAAAACAGACTGATTTAGAGACAGAATCACCAACTTCATGACAGTTTGACCTTAGGGCAGACCGCCTGACTCAGACCCAATGCAGCGACTGAGTGACCAACTTGTTGACATGTCAGAAACCCCGCACGACAAACCAAAGTCGTTGGATTGATCGAATGATCGATTGAATGATTTACTTGTTTATATATATATATACATATATATATATATATATACATATATATGTATATATATATATATATAGAGAGAGAGAGAGAGAGAGAGAAAAAAAAAAAAAGAGAGAGAGAGAGAGAGAGCACACACACACAGTCAGACACACAGAGTCACACAGACAAAGTCGCACACACACTCACAGTCCGATCAATCAATCTATTCATTGGATAGATTGAATGAATGATTGATTGATTGATTAAATTTTGCAAATTTTTGTTTTTGGAGAGAGAGAGAGAGAGAGAGAGAGAGAGAGAGAGAGAGAGAGAGAGAG